AGCCTGGATGCGCAGCTGGGGCATTGTGTCGGGGAGGAAACGGGCGAACTCCGCAGCACCCACTGCCGCATATTTTGCCCTCAGTGCATCATTGCATTGGAGGTCAATCAACTCCATTTGGAGGTTTGGTGGTGAGCTTTCCACGTCAACAGCAAATGGGTTACCGAGCAGTTCCAACCTGCTTTTTTGTGCTTCAAAGTCAGCAAATCGGCGTCGAAAGTCAGCGGCAAGCATACATATTTTATCAGCCAACTGTGCGCTCGGGAACGCACTGGTAGAGAGCTTCTCTTTCATGGTCTGGCAGCTGGGAAAGTGGCTCAAATTTTCTTTCCGCATCTGCGTCTCCCACAGAGTCAGTTTGGTTTTAAATGCCTTCACTGTACTGTACATATCAGAGATGACATGATCCCGACCCTGCAGCTGCAAGTTCATTGCATTCAGATGACTCGTAATGTCACACAGAAAAGCCATTTCACACAGAAACATTTCGTCTCGGAGTTGTGTTGTGTCTTTCCCTTTGCTGTCCAAGAACAGACAAATCTCCTCACGAAGCTCGAAACATCTTTGAAGCACCTTTCCCTGGCTTAGCCATCGCACCTCTGTGTGATAAGGCAAATCACCATGCTCCGTTTCTAACTCCGTCAGAAATGCCTTGAACTGGCGGTGATTCAAACCTTTGGCTCTGATAAAGTTAACTGTGCGCGTGATGATGCTCATTACATGCTCCATTTTCAAGGCTTTACCGCACAACGCTTCCTGGTGTATGATACAATGATAAGCTGTCAGCTCACCTGTCGCGTTTTCCTCTTGCATCTTTTCCCGTATCTTGACGCATATAGTATTGGTGCGTGTAAAAGATCTGCGGGCTGCCGGCTTGCTGCGGTCTGCGGGCCGGTTCTAATAATAAATCAAGATCATCCCAGGGGCCGTAAAAAACCTTCTCGCGGGCCGGATGTGGCCCGCGGGCCTTGACTCTGACATATGTGGTCTAGACTGTCTGGTTCAGCACCTGTTTATAACAGCCATCCGTCTAGACTGTCTGGTTCAGCACCTGTTTATAACAGCCATCCGTCTAGACTGTCTGGTTCAGCACCTGTTTATAACAGCCATCCGTCTAGACTGTCTGGTTCAGCACCTGTTTATAACAGCCATCCGTCTAGACTGTCTGGTTCAGCACCTGTTTATAACAGCCATCCGTCTAGACTGTCTGGTTCAGCACCTGTTTATAACAGCCATCCATCTAGACTGTCTGGTTCAGCACCTGTTTATAACAGCCATCCATCTAGACTGTCTGGTTCAGCACCTGTTTATAACAGCCATCCAGAAGTGTGCAACATCTCAAATAAAATGTTATTTGCCACATACACCGAATACAACAGGTGTAGACATTACAGTGAAATGCTTACTTACAAGCCCTTAACCAACAATGCCGTTTTTAAAAAGAAAATATAAAAGTGTTAAGTCAAAAATAGAGAAGTCAAAAATTCAAGCAAATAATTAAAGAGCAGCAGTAAAATAAAAATAACAGTAGGGAGGCTATATACAGGGGGTACTGGTACAGAGGCAATGTGCAGTGGCACAGGTTAGTCGAGGTAATTGAGGTAATATGTGGGTAGAGTTAAAGTGACTATACATAGATAATAAACAGAGTAGCAGCAGCGTAAAAGAGGGGGTTGGGGTGTCCGGTAGCCAATAGTCCGTCTAGACCTCAGACCTCTTTCTGCTTTATCATTCTTCCCCCCCACCATCACCAATAACAGCTTTTCTCCCTGATAGCTTCCTCTATTCATCAAGGCTGTGTCCCAAATGGCACCCTTTTCTCTGTAAAGTGCACTACTTTTGATCAGGGTGACATTTAGATCAGTCTATTTGTCCAGTCATTATCACACAGAGGTTTGTTAATCTCTCTCTGTCACCCCAGTGGGTTATGTAGCATGTTGGTCATGTTCAGTAGGGAGAAAACGTTTTGAAACAGGGAGGTTCTACACATTAACTTATCCAATAAAACAAATGTATCTGTTGCAAAATGTTTTGCTATGTGTGCCCTACTGGACACAGCCCTGCAATATGTACTCTGAAACTAGAAATGAACCTACACTTCTCAGAATTCCGCAGTTGATGGGAACCGACAACGTCTAACTTGTGCTGAAATGGCAAACAGCAGGCTTTCAATTACAGAAATAAATCACTTGATGACTCAGAATTAGTCAACAACAACTGTTTCTGGCTCTCCTGTTATGGGCCCTGGTCTAAAGTACTGCACTGTATAGGGGCCCTGGTCTAAAGTAGTGCACTGTATAGGCAAGAGGGTGCCATTTGGGCCTCAGCCTTTGTGTTCCTGACCACGTCAGCTAGCCCGGAGAGACGTTAGTGTCACATGAGTGGTCACCAGACCTTCAGGTCTAACACTGTACACACACCTCTCCCTCTCCCTCTCCTCTCCCTCTCCTCTCCTCTCCTCTCCTCTCCTCTCCTCTCCTCTCCTCTCCTCTCCTCTCCTCTCCTCTCCTCTCCTCTCCTCTCCTCTCCTCTCCTCTCCCTCTCCTCTCCCTCTCCCTCTCCCTCTCCCTCTCCCTCTCCCTCTCCCTCTCCCTCTCCCTCTCCCTCTCCCTCTCCCTCTCCCTCTCTCTCCTTCCCTCTCCCTCTCCCTCTCTCTCCTTCCCTCTCTCCTCTCCCTCTCTCCTTCCCTCTCCCTCTCCCTCTCCCTCTAGCGTTGCCAAATAGAGAAGCCACGTGCATAGACCTAGCTACACATTCTGCATGTGTCTGTATCCGCAGTATAGGCCTATATCAGGGGTACTGTGACCCCAAACTGTTCACATCCCTCTTGTTGGGGTGGGAGAGAACGTTTTGCAGTTTTTAAAGCACATTTCCTGCAATTCTACATATTTTGCCATGTAATATGTGTGTTCATATAATACCTGAGTGACTCAACAAAATCAATGTGGGCCCCCTGGGGGTGGAGGCCCCTGGGCACGTAATCTGGCCATGATAACTACAAGATGTAGATAGCTGGGGAGCCTAATTTACCTATCTAGCTAACATGGACTAGTAGTAGATCAACTGGACATTTCTGACAGGTTATAAATAGCTTTCTAAGGTCTGTTAGTGAATGACATAACAAGAGAAAAAGTGATGATGCACTACCCAATTTCCAAATTAGGGGCCTGTGGAACAGTAGTCCAACACAGGGATTACATAGGGAATAGGGTGGCCTGTGGAACAGTAGTCCAACACAGGGATTACATAGGGAATAGGGTGGCCTGTGGAACAGTAGTCCAACACAGGGATTACATAGGGAATAGGGTGGCCTGTGGAACAGTAGTCCAACACAGGGATTACATAGGGAATAGGGTGGCCTGTGGAACAGTAGTCCAACACAGGGATTACATAGGGAATAGGGTGGCCTGTGGAACAGTAGTCCAACACAGGGATTACATAGGGAATAGGGTGGCCTGTGGAACAGTAGTCCAACACAGGGATTACATAGGGAATAGGGTGGCCTGTGGAACAGTAGTCCAACACAGGGATTACATAGGGAATAGGGTGGCCTGTGGAACAGTAGTCCAACACAGGGATTACATAGGGAATAGGGTGGCCTGTGGAACAGTAGTCCAACACAGGGATTACATAGGGAATAGGGTGGCCTGTGGAACAGTAGTCCAACACAGGGATTACATAGGGAATAGGGTGGCCTGTGGAACAGTAGTCCAACACAGGGATTACATAGGGAATAGGGTGGCCTGTGGAACAGTAGTCCAACACAGGGATTACATAGGGAATAGGGTGGCCTGTGGAACAGTAGTCCAACACAGGGATTACATAGGGAATAGGGTGGCCTGTGGAACAGTGGTCCAACACAGGGGTTACATAGGGAATAGGGTGGCCTGTGGAACAGTAGTCCAACACAGGGATTACATAGGGAATAGGGTGGCCTGTGGAACAGTAGTCCAACACAGGGATTACATAGGGAATAGGGTGGCCTGTGGAACAGTAGTCCAACACAGGGATTACATAGGGAATCGGGTGGCCTGTGGAACAGTAGTCCAACACAGGGATTACATAGGGAATAGGGTGGCCTGTGGAACAGTAGTCCAACACAGGGATTACATAGGGAATCGGGTGGCCTGTGGAACAGTAGTCCAACACAGGGATTACATAGGGAATCGTGTGGCCTGTGGAACAGTAGTCCAACACAGGGATTACATAGGGAATAGGGTGGCCTGTGGAACAGTAGTCCAACACAGGGATTACATAGGAATAGGGTGGCCTGTGGAACAGTAGTCCAACACAGGGATTACATAGGGAATCGGGTGGCCTGTGGAACAGTAGTCCAACACAGGGATTACATAGGGAATAGGGTGGCCTGTGGAACAGTAGTCCAACACAGGGATTACATAGAGAATAGGGTGGCCTGTGGAACAGTAGTCCAACACAGGGATTACATAGGGAATCGGGTGGCCTGTGGAACAGTAGTCCAACACAGGGATTACATAGGGAATAGGGTGGCCTGTGGAACAGTAGTCCAACACAGGGATTACATAGGGAATAGGGTGGCCTGTGGAACAGTAGTCCAACACAGGGATTACATAGGGAATAGGGTGGCCTGTGGAACAGTAGTCCAACACAGGGATTACATAGGAATAGGGTGGCCTGTGGAACAGTAGTCCAACACAGGGATTACATAGGGAATCGGGTGGCCTGTGGAACAGTAGTTCAACACAGGGATTACATAGGGAATAGGGTGGCCTGTGGAACAGTAGTCCAACACAGGGATTACATAGGGAATAGGGTGGCCTGTGGAACAGTAGTCCAACACAGGGATTACATAGGGAATAGGGTGGCCTGTGGAACAGTAGTCCAACACAGGGATTACATAGGAATAGGGTGGCCTGTGGAACAGTAGTCCAACACAGGGATTACATAGGGAATAGGGTGGCATGTGGAACAGTAGTCCAACACAGTGGTGAAAGGGTCAGCAAGGTGCTATAAGACATGTTATGTTTATTTTGAACCATGGACCAACCCTGGTGAAACCCACCACTACACTGACAGCAGTTACTCTGTTCCTAGTGCCTGTCCTGACAGCAGCTACTCTGTTCCTAGTGCCTGTCCTGACAGCAGCGACTCTGTTCCTAGTGTCTGTCCTGACAGCAGCTACTCTGTTCCTTGTGCCTGTCCTGATAGCAGCTACTCTGTTCCTAGTGCCTGTCCTGATAGCAGCTACTCTGTTCCTAGTGCCTGTCCTGATAGCAGCTACTCTGTTCCTAGTGCCTGTCCTGACAGCAGCTACTCTGTTCCTAGTGTCTGTCCTGACAGCAGCTACTCTGTTCCTAGTGCCTGTCCTGACAGCAGCTACTCTGTTCCTAGTGCCTGTCCTGACAGCAGCTACTCCTAGCTGCAGTGTATCCTGACCACAGCTACTCCTAGCTGCACGCTTGCATTTTTAAAAAGTATTTATTTCTGCTTGTATTGAGACGGGCATAGAAAGGGATGGGGATACAGAGAGGAGTGGGCCCTGGTCTGCTTGTATTGAGATGGGCATAGAAAGGGATGGGGATACAGAGAGGAGTGGGCCCTGGTCTGCTTGTATTGAGACGGGCATAGAAAGGGATGGGGATACAGAGAGGAGTGGGCCCTGGTCTGCTTGTATTGAGACGGGCATAGAAAGGGATGGGGATACAGAGAGGAGTGGGCCCTGGTCTGCTTGTATTGAGACGGGCATAGAAAGGGATGGGGATACAGAGAGGAGTGGGCCCTGGTCTGCTTGTATTGAGACGGGCATAGAAAGGGATGGGGATACAGAGAGGAGTGGGCCCTGGTCTGCTTGTATTGAGACGGGCATAGAAAGGGATGGGGATACAGAGAGGAGTGGGCCCTGGTCTGCTTGTATTGAGACGGGCATAGAAAGGGATGGGGATACAGAGAGGAGTGGGCCCTGGTCTGCTTGTATTGAGACGGGCATAGAAAGGGATGGGGATACAGAGAGGAGTGGGCCCTGGTCTGCTTGTATTGAGACGGGCATAGAAAGGGATGGGGATACAGAGAGGAGTGGGCCCTGGTCTGCTTGTATTGAGACGGGCATAGAAAGGGATGGGGATACAGAGAGGAGTGAGCCCTGGTCTGCTTGTATTGAGACGGGCATAGAAAGGGATGGGGATACAGAGAGGAGTGAGCCCTGGTCTGCTTGTATTGAGACGGGTATAGAAAGGGATGGGGATACAGAGAGGAGTGAGCCCTGGTCTGCTTGTATTGAGACGGGTATAGAAAGGGATGGGGATACAGAGAGGAGTGAGCCCTGGTCTGCTTGTATTGAGACGGGCATAGAAAGGGATGGGGATACAGAGAGGAGTGGGCCCTGGTCTGCTTGTATTGAGACGGGCATAGAAAGGGATGGGGATACAGAGAGGAGTGGGCCCTGGTCTGCTTGTATTGAGACGGGCATAGAAAGGGATGGGGATACAGAGAGGAGTGGGCCCTGGTCTGCTTGTATTGAGACGGGCATAGAAAGGGATGGGGATACAGAGAGGAGTGAGCCCTGGTCTGCTTGTATTGAGACGGGCATAGAAAGGGATGGGGATACAGAGAGGAGTGGGCCCTGGTCTGCTTGTATTGAGACGGGCATAGAAAGGGATGGGGATACAGAGAGGAGTGGGCCCTGGTCTGCTTGTATTGAGACGGGCATAGAAAGGGATGGGGATACAGAGAGGAGTGGGCCCTGGTCTGCTTGTATTGAGACGGGCATAGAAAGGGATGGGGATACAGAGAGGAGTGAGCCCTGGTCTGCTTGTATTGAGACGGGCATAGAAAGGGATGGGGATACAGAGAGGAGTGGGCCCTGGTCTGCTTGTATTGAGACGGGCATAGAAAGGGATGGGGATACAGAGAGGAGTGAGCCCTGGTCTGCTTGTATTGAGACGGGCATAGAAAGGGATGGGGATACAGAGAGGAGTGGGCCCTGGTCTGCTTGTATTGAGACGGGCATAGAAAGGGATGGGGATACAGAGAGGAGTGGGCCCTGGTCTGCTTGTATTGAGACGGGCATAGAAAGGGATGGGGATACAGAGAGGAGTGGGCCCTGGTCTGCTTGTATTGAGACGGGCATAGAAAGGGATGGGGATACAGAGAGGAGTGGGCCCTGGTCTGCGGTGGGGAGGCCTACATGTTGTTAATGTCAGGAGTGTTACTTACCTGACCACGGCTCTGCACACCCTTACATTTAGTGTGTGTGTGTGTGTGCATTTAACATGCTCGTGTGTCTGTCCGTGGTGTATCCGTGTGTGTGTCTGTCCGTGTGTGTGTGTGTGTGTGCCCCTGTGTGGCGTGCCTGTGTGTGTGTTTGTGTCTGTGTGTGCATTCCCCTGTGTGTGTGTTTGTTGAACTCCGTCAGATTGTACAGTAATTGCCTCAGTGATCCTGCTCCCTGTTTTAATGACTGTAGTCAGCTGAACCTAACGACTGGAGAGTTATCTCTATATTAATGGCTGTAGTCAGCTAAACCTAACGACTGGAGAGTTGTCTCTATATTAATGGCTGTAGTCAGCTAAACCTAACGACTGGAGAGTTGTCTCTATATTAATGGCTGTAGTCAGCTAAACCTAACGACTGGAGAGTTGTCTCTATATTAATGGCTGTAGTCAGCTAAACCTAACGACTGGAGAGTTGTCTCTATATTAATGGCTGTAGTCAGCTAAACCTAACGACTGGAGAGTTGTCTCTATATTAATGACTGTAGTCAGCTAAACCTAACGACTGGAGAGTTGTCTCTATATTAATGACTGTAGTCAGCTAAACCTAACGACTGGAGAGTTGTCTCTATATTAATGACTGTAGTCAGCTAAACCTAACGACTGGAGAGTTGTCTCTATATTAATGGCTGTAGTCAGCTAAACCTAACGACTGGAGAGTTGTCTCTATATTAATGACTGTAGTCAGCTGAACCTAACGACTGGAGAGTTGTCTCTATATTAATGGCTGTAGTCAGCTAAACCTAACGACTGGAGAGTTGTCTCTATATTAATGACTGTAGTCAGCTAAACCTAACGACTGGAGAGTTGTCTCTATATTAATGGCTGTAGTCAGCTAAACCTAACGACTGGAGAGTTGTCTCTATATTAATGGCTGTAGTCAGCTAAACCTAACGACTGGAGAGTTATCTCTATATTAATGGCTGTAGTCAGCTAAACCTAACGACTGGAGAGTTATCTCTATATTAATGACTGTAGTCAGCTAAACCTAACCACTGGGGAGTTGTCTCTATATTAATGACTGTAGTCAGCTGAACCTATTAATGACTGTAGTCAGCTAAACCTAACGACTGGAGAGTTGTCTCTATTAATGACTGTAGTCAGCTAAACCTAACGACTGGAGAGTTGTCTCTATATTAATGGCTGTAGTCAGCTAAACCTAACGACTGGAGAGTTATCTCTATATTAATGACTGTAGTCAGCTAAACCTAACCACTGGGGAGTTGTCTCTATATTAATGACTGTAGTCAGCTGAACCTATTAATGACTGTAGTCAGCTAAACCTAACGACTGGAGAGTTGTCTCTATATTAATGGCTGTAGTCAGCTAAACCTAACGACTGGAGAGTTATCTCTATATTAATGGCTGTAGTCAGCTAAACCTAACGACTGGAGAGTTATCTCTATATTAATGGCTGTAGTCAGCTAAACCTAACGACTGGAGAGTTATCTCTATATTAATGACTGTAGTCAGCTAAACCTAACGACTGGAGAGTTGTCTCTATATTAATGACTGTAGTCAGCTAAACCTAACGACTGGAGAGTTATCTCTATATTAATGACTGTAGTCAGCTAAACCTAACCACTGGGGAGTTGTCTCTATATTAATGACTGTAGTCAGCTGAACCTATTAATGACTGTAGTCAGCTAAACCTAACGACTGGAGAGTTGTCTCTATATTAATGGCTGTAGTCAGCTAAACCTAACGACTGGAGAGTTATCTCTATATTAATGGCTGTAGTCAGCTAAACCTAACGACTGGAGAGTTATCTCTATATTAATGGCTGTAGTCAGCTAAACCTAACGACTGGAGAGTTATCTCTATATTAATGACTGTAGTCAGCTAAACCTAACGACTGGAGAGTTGTCTCTATATTAATGACTGTAGTCAGCTAAACCTAACGACTGGAGAGTTATCTCTATATTAATGACTGTAGTCAGCTAAACCTAACCACTGGGGAGTTGTCTCTATATTATTGACTGTAGTCAGCTGAACCTATTAATGACTGTAGTCAGCTAAACCTAACGACTGGAGAGTTGTCTCTATTAATGACTGTAGTCAGCTAAACCTAACGACTGGAGAGTTGTCTCTATATTAATGGCTGTAGTCAGCTAAACCTAACGACTGGAGAGTTGTCTCTATATTAATGGCTGTAGTCAGCTAAACCTAACGACTGGAGAGTTGTCTCTATATTAATGGCTGTAGTCAGCTAAACCTAACGACTGGAGAGTTGTCTCTATATTAATGGCTGTAGTCAGCTAAACCTAACGACTGGAGAGTTTGGGCCGGGTCTCTGAGTGAAACTGATTACAGCTGGACTGGGTCAGCAGTAATGACACTGGTACTACACACAGGTTAAATAACTCCACTGTAAGCAGTTGTCTGCATGTCTTCATCTGTTTTATGCTATGTCCCAGCCAGCGTCTACACTGGATATGTGACTTCACCCTAAAAGAAAAAGTCTCCTTTTTTTCCTCCCTTCTGTTATTTTATTTATAGCTCAAGTTCAATCCCGCTTCAGAGGAAAACATTATGAACAGCTTACACTCCTTTCCCTGTGTCTTCTTCCAAGGTATGGGAAGGTCGGTGGCGTGTTATTCCCCATGACGTGCTGCCTGAGTGGCTGAAGGACAACGAGTATCTCCGCCACGGACACCGGCCACCCATGCCCTCCTTCAGGGCCTGCTTCAAGAGCATCTTCAGGATCCACACGGAGACGGGCAACATCTGGACTCACCTGCTGGGTAAGAGAGGAGTCAGGGGACACACACACTTGCAGACACAATCAGTGACACACACCAAGCTAGCATTTAAATTCAAACACATTTATCAAACAAAGCTAGCAAATGAATGTCTTTGGTGGTGACATTTACTTTGGTTTGAGTGACTTAAAAGCTAATTAGATCACACTACACCGTTAGAAACACACAGCTAATTAGATCACACTACACCGTTAGAAACACACAGCTAATTAGATCACACTACACCGTTAGAAACACACAGCTAATTAGATCACACTACACCGTTAGAAACACACAGCTAATTAGATCACACTACACCGTTAGAAACACACAGCTAATTAGATCACACTACACCGTTAGAAACACACAGCTAATTAGATCACACTACACCGTTAGAAACACACAGCTAATTAGATCACACTACACCGTTAGAAACACACAGCTAATTAGATCACACTACACCGTTAGAAACACACAGCTAATTAGATCACACTACACCGTTAGAAACACACAGCTAATTAGATCACACTACACAACCGTTAGAAACACACAGCTAATTAGATCACAACACAACCGTTAGAAACACACAGCTAATTAGATCACACTACACCGTTAGAAACACACAGCTAATTAGATCACAGAGCAGTGGTTCCCAACCTTCTCTGTTCCGGGGACCACCAAATACATCAAAAGAGGAACAGAGAGGGGGGTGTAGTAGAGGAGGGGGTAGGGCAGGGGTAGTAAGTCAGGGGGGGAGAAGCAGATGGACAGAGGGGGGGTTAGTGAGGAGCAGAGGGGGTGTAGTAGAGGAGCAGAGGGGGGGGTGGACGTGTAGAGAGAGCAGAGGGGGGTGGTAGTAGAGAGAGCAGAGGGGGTGTAGTAGAGGAGCAGAGGGGGGGTGGTAGTAGAGGAGCAGAGGGGGGTGTAGTAGAGGAGCAGGGGGGGTGTAGTAGAGGAGCAGAGAGGGGGGGGTGTAGTAGAGGAGCAGAGGGGGGTGTAGTAGAGGAGCAGAGGGGGGTGTAGTAGAGGAGCAGAGGGGGGGTGTAGTAGAGGAGCAGAGGGGGGGGTGTAGTAGAGGAGCAGAGGGGGGGGTGTAGTAGAGGAGCAGAGGGGGGGTGTAGTAGAGGAGCAGAGGGGGGTGTAGTAGTAGTAGAGGCAGGGGGGGGTGTAGTAGAGGAGCAGGGGGGGTGTAGTAGAGGGCAGAGGGGGGGGTGTAGGGTTAGAGAGGGCAGAGGGGGGGTGTAGTAGAGGAGCAGAGGGGGGGTGTAGTAGAGGAGCAGAGGGGGGTGTAGTAGAGGAGCAGGGGGGGTGTAGTAGAGGAGCAGAGGGGGGTGTAGTAGAGGAGCAGGGGGGGTGTAGTAGAGGAGCAGGGGGGGTGTAGTAGAGGAGCGGGGGGTGTGTAGTAGAAGGAGCAGAGGGGGGGTGTAGTAGAGGAGCAGAGGGGGGGTGTAGTAGAGGAGCAAGGGGGGGTGTAGTAGAGGAGCAGAGGGGGGGTGTAGTAGAGGAGAGAGAGGGGGGGTGTAGTGCAGAGGAGGGTTTCAGAGAGGGGGGGTGTAGTAGAGGAGCAGAGGGGGGGTGTAGTAGAGGAGCAGAGAGGGGGGTGTAGTAGAGGAGCAGAGGGGGGGTGGTAGTAGAGGAGCAGGGGGGGGTGTAGTAGAGGAGCAGAGGGGGGGGGGTGTAGTAGAGGAGCAGAGGGGGTGTAGTAGAGAGGAGCGAGGGGCGGGGGGGCTTGTGGGTAGTAGAGGAGAAGAGGGTGGGGGGGGGGGGGGGGGGGGGGGTTTGTAGTAGTTGTATGTACGTAGAGGAGCAGGGGGGGGGGGGGGGGGGGGGGGGGGTGTAGTAGATGATCAGAGAGGGGGGGTGGAGAGAGAGAGATAATTAGCAGGCCACAGCTGAGCCACCCACACAGAGGATAAACACAGTGTTTACTACTATCTGTTTGTCCTTGTGTGTCATTAATCTGCCATGTCATAACGTCCTGCCCTAATCACCAGTAATGGAGTTAACGTTCCCCACTCTCTGCTCTAGCCCTCTGCTACTTTCACACACACACACTGTCTGAGTCAGACTAAGGACCGGCCAGAACACAGACAGACTAACATGAGATCTGCTCCCTGCTCACACGTGCAGAAATGATACAATATGAGAGCACAGGGCAAACCACGCGCACATACACCGTCTATACACACACACACACACTCAGACTACACACACACATACATACACACAGACTACACACACATACATACACACAGACTCTCTTCCGCTCCAGCGCAGATGTGTTGGGCATTAAATAAGGACAGGGCCTCTGAGTAAACGGAGAACTGAATGTTCACATAGTCCCATTTAGCTGGGTTAGGGTTAGACCATTTAGCTGGGTTAGGGTTAGACCATTTAGCTGGGTTAGGGTTAGACCCATTTAGCTGGGTTAGGGTTAGACCATTTAGCTGGGTTAGAGTTAGACATTTAACTGGGTTAGGGTTAGACCATTTAACTGGGTTAGGGTTAGACCCATTTAACTGGGTTAGGGTTAGACCATTTAGCTGGGTTAGGGTTAGACCATTTAACTGGGTTAGGGTTAGACCATTTAACTGGGTTAGGGTTAGACCCATTTAACTGGGTTAGGGTTAGACCCATTTAACTGGGTTAGGGTTAGACCCATTTAACTGGGTTAGGGTTAGACCCATTTAACTGGGTTAGGGTCAGACCATTTAACTGGGTTAGGGTTAGACCATTTAACTGGGTTAGGGTTAGACCCATTTAACTGGGTTAGGGTTAGACCCATTTAACTGGGTTAGGGTTAGACCCATTTAACTGGGTTAGGGTTAGACCCATTTAACTGGGTTAGGGTTAGACCCATTTAACTGGGTTAGGGTTAGACCCATTTAACTGGGTTAGGGTTAGACCCATTTAACTGGGTTAGGGTTAGACCCATTTAACTGGGTTAGGGTTAGACCCATTTAACTGGGTTAGGGTTAGACCATTTAACTGGGTTAGGGTCAGACCATTTAACTGGGTTAGGGTTAGACCATTTAACTGGGTTAGGGTTAGACCCATTTAACTGGGTTAGGGTTAGACCCTTTAACTGGGTTAGGGTTAGACCCATTTAACTGGGTTAGGGTTAGACCCATTTAACTGGGTTAGGGTCAGACCATTTAACTGGGTTAGGGTTAGACCATTTAACTGGGTTAGGGTTAGACCATTTAACTGGGTTAGGGTTAGACCATTTAACTGGGTTAGGGTTAGACCATTTAACTGGGTTAGGGTTAGACCCATTTAACTGGGTTAGGGTTAGACCCATTTAACTGGGTTAGGGTTAGACCATTTAACTGGGTTAGGGTTAGACCATTTAACTGGGTTAGGGTTAGACCCATTTAACTGGGTTAGGGTTAGACCCATTTAACTGGGTTAGGGTTAGACCCATTTAACTGGGTTAGGGTTAGACCCATTTAACTGGGTTAGGGTCAGACCATTTAACTGGGTTAGGGTTAGACCATTTAACTGGGTTAGGGTTAGACCCATTTAACTGGGTTAGGGTTAGACCCATTTAACTGGGTTAGGGTTAGACCCATTTAACTGGGTTAGGGTTAGACCCATTTAACTGGGTTAGGGTTAGACCCATTTAACAGGGTTAGGGTCAGACCATTTAGCTGGGTTAGGGTTAGACCATTTAGCTGGGTTAGGGTTAGACCATTTAGCTGGGTTAGGGTTAGACCATTTAGCTGGGTTAGGGTTAGACCATTTAACTGGGTTAGGGTTAGACCATTTAACTGGGTTAGGGTTAGACCATTTAACTGGGTTAGGGTTAGACCCATTTAACTGGGTTAGGGTTAGACCATTTAACTGGGTTAGGGTTAGACCATTTAACTGGGTTAGGGTTAGACCATTTAACTGGGTTAGGGTTAGACCATTTAACTGGGTTAGGGTTCCTGTCCTGGTGAGCATCAAACAGAACAAATAACACACACAACAACACCCCATCAAACATGTCACCGTAGCTACGGGTCAGGAGGCTCTACCTGACCTTGGGATTTGACCAGGAAAGCCTCTTTAGGTCTAGAACATTCTTGGGCCCAGAGTTTTTCCCTGGTCATGTCACAGTCAGGAAAACCTCCAGGTCTGAGTCATTAGATACTAAATAAACACAGATATGAGGCAGAGAGAGAGAGTCATCTGAAAGCAGGCTGATGAGACTGTGTGACACAGATCACATTAGTCAGGAGAAACTCCAGCCAGCACAACCGCAGACGGATGTAGCACACAGTTGTCTGAAAGCAGAAAGAAGCCCACGGTCCTCTTGTTGTGGTGTTATGACACAGGTCTACACACTGAGGTCACAGTCAGCCAGTCCCAGCCAGCCAGTCCCAGCCAGCCAGTCCCAGTCAGCCAGTCCCAGTCAGCCAGTCCCAGTCAGCCAGTCCCAGTCAGCCAGTCCCAGTCAGCCAGTCCCAGTCAGCCAGTCCCAGTCAGCCAGTCCCAGTCAGCCAGTCCCAGTCAGCCAGTCCCAGCCAGCCAGTCCCAGCCAGCCAGTCCCAGCCAGCCAGTCCCAGTCAGTCCCAGTCAGTCAGTCCCAGTCAGTCAGTCCCAGTCAGCCAGTCCCAGTCAGCCAGTCCCAGCCAGCCAGTCCCAGTCAGCCAGTCACAGCCAGCCAGTCAGTCAGTCCCAGTCTGGTGCTGCTGGCCTGGCAGCCTGGCAACATGACTATGGTCCTCTCGCTAGCAGAGTGAAGGAACTCACTGTGTTTGTGTCCTTCTGGTGAATCTGCTGCATAGTGTGACTCAGTCTACTGACTCTACAGCAGGGTTTCTCAAACTGGGTCCCGGGGCCCCCCCTGGGTGCACCTTTTGGATTTTGCTCTAGCACCACACAGCTGATTCAAATAACAAATTCTTGATGAGTTGGTTATTTGAATCAGCTGTGTAATTCTAGGGTGAACACCAAAAGGTGTACCCAGAGGGGGCCCCGGGACCCAGTTTGAGAAACCCTGGACTAGAGGACACACCCCCCTCTGACTTTAGAGGACTGACGCACACATTGTGACTCAGCTTGACTGAATCAAGGGGACACACCCACCACACATGTCATGTGCATACACAAACAGTGTGTTCTCTACCCACCACTGTTCCCTAGTGTACACTTCTGGTATCACAACTCAGATGATTTAGTCTCTTCCCACAGCCACTGGCAAGCGAGACTACAAGTTAGAATATAAATCAGACATTTTTTATAAATCTATAGTATATTTGACCAAACTCAGTAAAGCTGAGCTAGCTGGGTCATACCTTTGAACAGGAGCCCATATGATCAGTATGATTCAGCGTGTATACAGCTGAGAGCTCAGACAGACCTCTCGCTCTCTCGCATTCATCATTTTAAATTAATTATTTTATCATTAGAATGATGTGCTGTAACTGCTACATATTGTTTCTAATGAGCGATTGAGCATGAGCACTTAAAATAAATAATACATGAGTATTTCTCTCCCCATCTCCCTCTTCAAGAGTTTTTCCAAGAGATTTTGAATAGTAGTAGAATCACATACTGAAACGTATTGTTTCTAATGACTAATCGATGGGTTCATTTTAAATGATGAAATATTAATAATATTTATTTCTCCCTCTCCATCTCATCTCCCCCTCCCTCTCTCTCTCCCTCTCTCTCTCTCTCTCTCTCTCTCCTTCCTCCAGGCTGTCTGTTCTTCCTGTGCCTGGGCATCATGTATATGTTCCGCTCCAACATGTACTTTGCTGCCCCGTTCCAGGAGAAGATAGTGATCGGTATCTTCTTCATCGGAGCCATCCTGTGTCTCTCCTTCTCCTGGCTCTTCCACACCGTCTACTGCCACTCCGAGGGCGTCTCGCGCGTCTTCTCCAAGTAAGACCATGGTTATATTTTCCTTGCATCTACAGTGAGGGGAAAAAAGTATTTGATCCCCTGCTGATTTTGTACGTTTGCCCCACTGACAAAGACATGATCAGTCTATAATTTTAATGGTAGGTTTATTTGAACAGTGAGAGACAGAATATCAACAAAAAAATCCAGAAAAACGCATGTAAATATTTTTTTTTTGAAATTGATTTGCGTTTTAATGAGGGAAATAAGTATTTGACCCCCTCTCAATCAGAAAGATTTCTGGCTCCCAGGTGTCTTTTATTCAGGTAACGAGCTGAGATTAGGAGCACACTCTTAAAGGGAGTGCTCCTAATCTCAGTTTGTTACCTGTATAAAAGACACCTGTCCACAGAAGCAATCAATCAATCAGATTCCAAACTCTCCATCATGGACAAGACCAAAGAGCTCTCCAAGGATGTCAGGGACAAGATTGTAGACCTACACAAGGCTGGAATGCGCTCCAAGACCATCGCCAAGCAGCTTGGTGAGAAGGTGACAACAGTTGGTGCGATTATTCGCAAATGGAAGAAACACAAAAGAACGGTCAATCTCCCTCTGCCTGGGGCTCCATGCAAGATCTCACCTCGTGGAGTTGCAATGATCATGAGAACGGTGAGGAATCAGCCCAGAACTACACGGGAGGATCTTGTCAATTATCTCAAGGCAGCTGGGACCATAGTCACCAAGAAAACAATTGGTAACACACTACGCCGTGAAGGACTGAAATCCTGCAGCGCCCGCAAGGTCCCCCGCTCAAGAAATTACATATACAGGGCCGTCTGAAGTTTGCCAATGAACATCTGAATGATTCAGAGGAGAACTGGGTGAAAGTGTTGTGGTCAGATGAGACCAAAATCGAGCTCTTTGGCATCAACTCAACTCGCCGTGTTTGGAGGAGGAGGAATGTTGCCTATGACCCCAAGAACACCATCCCCACCGTCAAACATGGAGGTGGAAACATTATGCTTTGGGGGTGTTTTTCTGCTAAGGGGACAGGACAACTTCACCGCATCAAAGGGACGATGGACGGGGCCATGTACCGTCAAATCTTGGGTGAGAACCTCCTTCCCTCAGCCAGGGCATTGAAAATGGGTCGTGGATGGGTATTCCAGCATGACAATGACCCAAAACACACGGCCAAGGCAACAAATGAGTGGCTCAAGAAGAAGCACATTAAGGTCCTGGAGTGGCCTAGCCAGTCTCCAGACCTTAATCCCATAGAAAATCTGTGGAGGGAGCTGAAGGTTCGAGTTGCCAAACGTCAGGCTCGTAACCTTAATGACTTGGAGAAGATCTGCAAAGAGGAGTGGGACAAAATCCCTCCTGAGATGTGTGCAAACCTGGTGGCCAACTACAAGAAACGTCTGACCTCTGTGATTGCCAACAAGGGTTTTGCCACCAAGTACTAAGTCATGTTTTGCAGAGGGGTCAAATACTTATTTCCCTCATTTAAAATGCAAATCAATTTATAAAAATTTTTACATGCGTTTTTCTGGATTTTTGTTGTTATTCTGTCTCTCACTGTTCAAATAAACCTACCATTAAAATTATAGACTGATAATTTATTTGTCAGTGGGCAAATGTACAAAATCAGCAGGGGATCAAATACTTTTTTCCCTCACTGTACCTGACTCCAGACTGCACCACGTGTGTTGATAGCAGAACCAGTGTCAAATACTTTCATTGGGCCTATTCGGGGTACACTTGATTTGTCTTGAGTTTGCATTTTTGGGACTATTCCATTGTTTCTATTGGTTGAAGCATTCGATGGAGCAGATGTTTCGTCATCGGTCTAACCTCGGGCTCCCGAGTGGCGCAGCGGTCTAAGGCGCTGCATCTCAGTGCTTGAGGCGTCACTACAGACCCCCTGGTTCGATTCCAGGCTGTATCACAACCGGCCGTGATTGGGAGTCCCATAGGGCGGCGCACAATTGGCCCAGCGTCGTTCGGGTTTGGCCGGTGTAGGCCGTCATTGTAAATAACAATTTGTTCTTAACTGACTTGCCTAGTTAAATAAAGGTTCAATAAAAATAAATTTAAAAAAACCCCTCTCTCTCTCTGTCAATAAAACGAAATATATCAGTTTCAAATTGCTTTATTGGCATGACGTAACAATGTACATATTGCCTAAGCGTACTTTGGAAAAGGAATGATTGATTAACAATGTATTTCTTTCGTCCAGGTCATTCATCTGTCTCTCTCTCTCTCCAGACTGGACTACTCAGGCATAGCCTTCCTGATCATGGGCTCCTTTGTCCCCTGGCTCTACTACTCGTTCTACTGCTCTCCCAACCCCAGGCTGATCTACCTGGTAGTCGTCTGTATACTAGGAGTCTCTGCCATCGTTGTCTCGCAGTGTGACTTCTTCGCTAAGCCACAGTACCGCGGCGTCAGAGCAGGTCAGTCACCGTGTGTGTGTGTGTGTGTGTGTGTGTTTATGTGTTTATGTGTGCTTTTGTTTTGTAATCTAATAATTTAGTTTTATCAAGACTGGGATCTCCTCCACCTCTTCCTCCTCATCTCCCTTCCACGTGCCAGGCTGCCCCCAGAGGTTATCGCCTCAGACTGGCAGTCTTTTCTCACCCCCCCCCCCCCTCCCCTGCTCCCCTCCCCCCTCCTCCCCCCCCCCCCCCCCACCCCCCCCCCCCCCCCCCCCTCTCCCTCCTCCCTCTCCCCCTCCTCCCACACAGACACACACACGCTGTCCCTCCTCTTTGTGTTTTATGGAGCCCATTTAAACTGGTGCTCATCAGTCCTCTGTGCCGTTTATGGGGTTGTTAGTCCCAGCGGCCCGGTGCCAGACCCAGGGACGTGTCTGGGTTATGACCAGGTGGCTGCCAGGCAGGGTAGGACAGGAGGGTCACTCCCTTTACCACTCTATCTCTTCCTGTCTTTCCCTCTTCACTTTTCTGTCTGTCTTCCACTTTCTCACTCTGTCTCTCCCTCTATCATTCTCATTTCTTTCCTTCCTTCCTCTCGCTCTCTCTGGGAACAGTGGACAGTCATGTGTAGCGAGGCCTGATGTAATATCAGTGAAATAAACAGAAAGAGCTCAGTGTGAGTAGAGTGAGGTGTCAGGTGTAACCACTCAGGTGTGTACAAGCCCCTGGCTGTCTCTCCAGAGGACGCTTTGGGATGATGTTTCTACACGCATGTCTCTCTGTCTCAGGTGTTGGTTTCTGTCATTCTGTTTTGGTCTGTAGCTGTCTTCTGTATTAACCCCTGTCTGTCTGTCTGTCCCCAGGAGTGTTTGTAGGTCTGGGTCTGAGCGGTGTGGTTCCCCACCCTGCACTTTGTCATCACCGAGGGCTTGCCGAGAGCCACTACTATGGGTCAGATGGGCTGGCTCCTCCTCATGGCTACTCTCTACATCTCTGGAGCCTGCATCTACGCAGCACGGATCCCAGAGAGGTTCTTCCCAGGGAAATGTGACATCTGGGTGGGTAGAAGTAGAGGACCTCTGGGCTTGGACACACCAATGGGGACTGCATGCAGGAACTCACACACACACACGGACAACTTGGACACACACACACTCTCACACACTGGAGTTAAATATAGCTTTTTGGCTATTTTGTGTGGGCTGATTGATCCCAGATGTGTATGTTTGTTTTGGGTTTGAGGAAACAGAGATTGGGCAACCTTTTCCTCTCTCTCTCTCGCTCTCTCTCTCTCTCACACTGCTGAAGGTAAATTGTTATGAATTGAGGACATTGTATAGGGCAGTGGTTAGGTCATTTAGTCCGACCGTACCATCCTTTAAACCCCGTCACGTGTGACCGTGTCTTGTCCCCTGCCCTGCCGTTCCCCTCCATTAGCACCCAGCTGGAGAGGGGACAGGCCTGGGAGAGCTAGCCCAGATCAGTGCCGTCAGGCTGGGCCTCGCTGCCCCTCTCCCCCCTTCTCTGGTCCTCAGCTGGATGGTGGCTTCAATACCTACTCTGGAACAGTATGTGTACTTTAGGCTGCGTCTCAAATGGCACCATAATCCCTATGTAGTGCACTACTTTTCACCAGCACCTCTAGGGGGACAGTAGTGTACTACAGGTAACTGCCTAAATAAAGGAACCATAAAGTGTCTTAATAGGGCGTTGGGCCACCACCAGCCAGAACAGCTTCCATGCACCTTGGCATAGATTCTACCAGGGTCTGGAACTCTATTGGAGGGATGTGAAACCATTCTTCCACCAGTCATTCCATCATTTGGTGTTTTGTTGATGGTGGTGGAAAACGCTGTCTCAGGCGCCGCTCCAGAATCTACCGTAAATGTTCAATTGGGTTGAGATCTGGTGACTGAGACACACACACACACACACACACACACACACACACACACACACACACACACACACACCCTTTAAATCCCCTATGCTCCTTTGAGACTCCTCTTTCAAAGTCACAGAGATCTCTTCTTCTAGCCATGGTAGCCAAAATAATGGGCAACTGGGCATGTTTCTACATGACCCTAAGCATGATGGGATGTTTTAATTTCTTAATGAACTCAGGAACCACACCTGCGTGGAAGCACCTGCTTTGTATCTGTCATCCCTTTAATGTTACCTTTGTTTTGGCAGTTACATAGGGAATAGGGTGCCATTTGGGACACGGGCTGTGTAGTGGGTGGGTGGTTATTACCCACTCCGGAACAGTGTGTTACAGTGCTTTAGGACCGTACTGTGGTGTGTGTGTGTGTGTGGGGGGGGGGGGCGATTATTACCTCACATTCTTTACATCTGTCCTTGAGATGGTTGATAGTCAGCCCCAACATGAACCCTGTGTTACCCACGTAGAAAGGAGGAGAGGACTGGGAAAAAGGGCCATCATGTTACATCACTGAGTTAGATAGGCAATGTAGCGTGGCAGGTATTTGGTCTACACCAACTCCTACACACACACACACACACACACACACACACACACACACCCTCTGTAGTCTGCTCCAGGTGTTTTCATGGATGTGTAGGAAGACATAACACAATGCCTCCTCCCCTAATCCCTCTTTTGGGAATGTGTGGAATCCTGACAGTTATTCCTCAATCACGGTTCTCTTCTTGAAATGTCCTCATTCAGACTAATGCAGCGTTTCCCAAACTCTGTCCTCGGGACCCCAAGGGCTGCACGTTTTGGTTTTTGCCCTAACATTACACAGCTGATTCAAATGATCAAAGCTTAATGATGAGTTGGTGATTTGAATCAGCTGTGTAGTGCTAGGGCAAAAAACAAAACGTGCCCACCCTTGGGGTCCTGAGGATTGCGTTTTGGGAAACCCTGGACTAATGCTTCCTGTGTCTTAGGGGGACACCTGGATGTACGGCTGACTGTGTGGACCATCTTTATGTACATGGAGCTATGGGCTATTTTAGAGACGCCATCTCTGATCCTCAGAGCACATTAATGTTAACCTGGTCCTGCTTGTTCCCTTGTCGACTCCATGGCTGTCCTTGTCAAGCTAAACATGACAATGAGTGAAGGAGTTGACTTGGCACACGCAGGCTGGTACTCCGGCTACACTAATGTAGGCCTATCCGTGACCTAGCAACCATAGCAGAGGCTAAATCAGAACTAACTAAAATCTTCACTGATCATCTCTCTCTCTCTCTCTCTCTCTCTCTCTCTCTCTCTCTCTCTCTCTCTCTCTCTCTCTCTCTCTCTCTCGTCTCTCTCTGTCTCTCTCTGTCTCTGTCTCTCTCCTCTCTCTCTCTCTGTCTCTCTGTCTCTCTCTCTCCCTCTCTCCCTCTCTCTCTCTCTCTGTCTCTCTGTCTGTCTCTCTCTCTCTCTCTCTCTCTAGTTCCACTCTCATCAGTTGTTCCACGTCCTGGTGGTGGCGGGAGCGTTCGTCCATTTCCACGGCGTGTCCAACCTGCAGGCGTTTCGCTACGCGGCCGGGGCGGGATGTGAGGAGGACAATGCCCTGTGAAGCTCCTGCACGCCACGCCGACACACCACCAGGGGGAGACACACACACACACACACACACACACACATACAGACACGGGAGACTGATGAACGCTCATATACACACACACACACACTGGAGACACAAACACTGACTCCCCCGTAGCGACCCGTCTCTCTTTGTACAGGATACCCCTTAGAGGACACATGAAAAAAAAGACAAGGTTTTCTTTTCAGTTGGAAAAAATGACCTACGTCTCATTTGTTTTTCTCCTCTCTCCATCTTGTTTTGATTAACTGCATCAAGGGTTTTTGACATTTTTGAGACTGGTCCCCCCCCCCCTCAAAAAAAGAAGTAGTGTGAATTTTGAGTAATCTGTTGACGTGATCATGGTTGTTATGATTATCATAATTCTAAACGTGCTCACGGTGCAAAGCAACAAAACAATTAAATGGTGGGGGTTTCTTAATACCATAGTAGTGGAAGGAAGGAAAAGCTTTACAAAAAAAAAATACTTTTTTTTTTTTTCATGAAAAGGGTGGGCATGGAGTGGGGGTTGGGGAGGCTAGCCGCTTTTCAACGTTTTTCATGTATATAAGATTTCTAAATTGGGGTTATATAGATTTGTATTAAATATATATCATTAAAAAAAATAAAAAATAAGAAAAAATGTAATAAGATAAATTACGAGATATTGAAGAAAAAAAATCTGTAAAGATGATGTGGCAACAACCAAGAAACCACCATTATGTATAAACCAGTCATTTGACCAGAGGGGGGAATTAAGGGGTGAATATAGGAGAACCACACACTGTTGAAGGGAGCTATCGCACAAAGAGTTGAGACGTGTGAAGGGGAGAGGGAGATCAACTTCATAACGAGGGAGGCGGGTCGGCAATCTCCCCGGCGCTACAAGGGTTAAACCCTAGGGTGGAAATACGACCCGTGATTGGCTGAAGTAGAGCCCCAGTTGACAAATCAGGTGCGGAAGTCTGTTCATATTCTTTTCAAAAGTAGTGCACTACATGGGGAATAGGGTGCCATTTGGGACAGACACAGCCCGTGTATATCTTGACGTCTAGCTACTTTGTCTCATTCCGTTAGACCGTGACATCTAGTGCGTCATCCCAACAGTCAACATGACCCTTCCTTCCTAACATTAGAAACCAACGTCAGGGTGCATCCAAAATGGCACCCTATTCCCTATATAGTGCACTACTTTTGACCAGAGCCCAGCATAGGTCAAACGTAGTACACAATATAGGGAATTAGGGTGCCGTTTCTGATGCATTTTAGTTTCTCGAACCCTAAGTGAAACCAACATCATCAGTGAGAAGCCAGTGTCTATCCCCTTACCAAGTGAGGCTAGACTTTTTTTTTTGATGGTCTGGCATAAAGTGACTTTGTACTACGTTTTGTGTGAATTGTGTGATTCATTGACTTTAAGGCTAAGTCCCAAATGGTACCCTATTCCCTATATAGTGCACTACTTTTGACCAGGTAGTGCACTATATAGGGAATAGGGTGCCATTTGGGAGGGAATAGGGTGCCATTTGGGACCCGGATATAAAAACAGATCAATATTTCAGAACAGAAAATGCATCTCAAAATGTGTTTGATTATTATTTTGTATGCTATTATTTAGTTAAATATTCATCACCACAGGCTTTAAGTTCATTTGTTCTTTCTTTCTCCACAACCGCTGCGATTGTCTGTTTTTTGGGAGGTTTTCTATTCTCTTTTAAAGGGTGTGTATGTGATTGAAAAGATTGAAACATGTAATACCAGATTGACTTAGAGGGGCGTCACAATCACTGTCCTGTTTCTACGGTGAGGCTCTGGGTATCTGTTTGGAGCTTTGTGTATTAGGGCTCGATTCAATCCATTGCCGAAGTTCGGCGCTATAGCGCGATTTGAAATTTAAAAGCAATCTTCCCGCGTTGGCGGAGACTGCATTCGTGGTAAACGCTGCATATGTCGGCTCAATGGGATGTGAACTTCGGCGATATGTATTGAATTGAGCCCTTAGTTAATGTGTATCAGATCTACTTTCTAGACATGCATCTATGCCACGGTGCATAGCCGTGCTGAGGCTGAGAGCCTTCTCTCTCCACTTCAGATTCATCCGCCACACACCCGCTCAGTCTAACTGCTTCTGTACCTGTCGCTCAAGCTATAACACTAACAGACATGTATTCGTTGTGAAGATATACATGCGGTGCATTTGAGACCTTGATCTCAGTTTCACTAGAGAACCTAGCTTGGTTGCCAGGTCAGTATGTGCTTTAGCCAACCAATGCCATGAAATTGAAAGTCAGAAGTTTGCTTAAGCCTGTACAGGTCTGGCAACTAGGCTAGAACAGTCGGTGGTGTCAGATCTCAACTCCTCGACAACACATAGAGTTATATGGAGTGTTTCATTTGATCCTCTATTGGAGTTAAAAAGCTTATATAAACATAATCAGGGAGGCAGTTTCCACTCTTGACTCTTTTAGGAGGAAGGAGAGTTTCCCCCTTCTGTCCTTCTCTTGGGTTTGGGTCCTTGATAGCCTGGTCCCAGATCTGTTTGTGCTATCTTGCCAACTTATTGTCAGACTGTGACCATAGGAGTTGGCTAGATGGCACAAAGAGATCTGGGACCAGGCGAGGTCCTTAATGCTCTGTGTTGAGACTATAGATTTCTTAACTTATCAATCTTCAGCCCAGAGTTACGAGGCCTTCGTTTCATTGTGACAGTTCAACAGAAAAAACAAAGGAAAACTGCTGTTTTTGTTTTATTTATTTTAAATTTAATTTCTTTATTTTTGTGTTTAGTTTTTCTTTTGGGAAGTGCATATTGTTTGTTGTTGAAGCACACGTCCAGTGGTGACAGTGTGATTGCAATAGGCCTTTATATCTGCTGTGTTGTTCTAATAAAAGGTTTTGGATTCTGTGAAAGTTTGATGTATTTATTTGGCTTTGTGATGTCTAATACTTTATGGTGATGTCTTGAGGTGCATTTCAAACGACATTTATTGTGGGATTTTATTATCAGGCATTCCTTTTTTATTGTGCACAGTTTTCTGTAGTGGCATGGGTTTTTTACTGTAGTTTTCCAGCCAGTTTGTACGGCTGCATGATATTTCATTAGACTGTTGCCATCTAGTGGTGAAATGAGGTATAACAATTTGTCTACCTTCTGAGGCCTGCATCCATTTCAAATACTGTGGCTCCATCTCAATTTGTCTTTCCACAATACCTCTCCAATCTCCTGGCCTCCTTCTCAACAGTACTGGAAAAGGTCAACACTCCATCCCCTCTGACCTTTTCCAATAGGTTTTGAGGAATTGAGGAAGAGCCTGTGCATTACTGTTCCATGGCATGCAAGTCTAGTAGAAGGTTAGGGGTGTTCAGTAGGGGAACTAGCTGAGCTCTCTGGGATGACGCTTAAATCAAATCAAATGTTGTTTGTCACATGCGCCGAACACAACAGGTGTAGACCTTACAGTGAAATGCTTACTTACAAGCCCTTAACCAACAATGCCGTTAAGAAAGAATACCAAAAAATATATATCTATATATATATATATATATAAGAGATATGTTGGGGTGGTATGCAAATTTAGTGGGTCTACGGTTTCTGGGATAATGGTGTTGATGTGCCTTTCAATGCACTTCATGGCTACATACGTGAGTGCTACGGGTCGGTAGTCATTTAGGCATGTTACCTTAGTGTTCTTGGGCACAGGGACTATCGTGGTCTGCTTGAAACATGTTGGTATTACAGACTCACATCAACACCATCATCCCAGAAACCCTAGCCCCACTCCAATTTGCATACCGCCCCAACAGATCCACAGATTATGCAATCTCTATTGTGCTCCACACTGCCCTTTCACATCTGGACAAAAGGAA